TGACACATGTATACATGAGTAACTTTCATAGTTCATAAAATCTGAAACCAAAATATTATCACAAGAAGTAGAAGGCATGAAAATATTGCAACTCAGTTTGCATATATAACTGAAGCTCTTATTCATTTCAAAAGGTTGACAATGTTCATCATTAAACCATCCCATCATTGGTGAATAAACCTTATTTGGATCAAATTTACATGCTACAACATGCTTAAATAAGCAAACATGCAATAAGTCATTTGACACAAAATCATCACCAAGATTAGAGGTCATATCAAAATGATTAAACATTGGTTCTTTTGCATCAACAGTTAATTCAATGGGTGCACTCAAAATTATTGGTATTTTAGTTGTTTGATCACATGGCACATTCATGATAGTAACACAATTCTCTAAAATAGCCGGTGTGCTCAAATCAATAGGTAATTCAACACATGATGTATTCAAGTTAACTAGGCATGCATCATTCTCATGTGAAAGTGGAAAATCTATACCTTTTTCATTACCTCTTATGATCAACTCAAACGATGTAGGCACTCTTGGTGGTGATGTGTCACATGGTGGAGATGATGTAGTCCTCGCAACAACGGATGTGGTTGTCATAGTATTCCTAGTAGCTGAAGAAACATCTGTATCAACTCTTGGAATGTGCACCGCGCGCTTGTTCTCCTCATGGGCAACACATCGTTTTATTTCCTGTTCAGCTTTGCAAGCAAGACAAAACAAATGGTCCATAGGATAACACTCTTCATGAATTAGTATCTCTTGAACATCTCGGTTTAATCCTCCCCAAAATCTATCCATAAAATCTTCTTCACTTTCTTCTAAAAATGAGTGCAACAATGTAGATTGTAAATCATCATAATATTTTATTACCGTGTCAGTGCCTTGTTTTAAATGTTGTAATTTTTTAATCATTCCACGAGTATAATAAACATCAACAATCTATCTCTCATGACAAGTCTTAAACCATCCCAAGTAGTAGGTATAAAATTATGGTTTAACCGACAATATTCACTCCACCAAACTAAAGCAAAGCTACTGAAAGTACTAACCGCGGCTTGAAATTTTCCACGCTCATCAAAATTATGGGAAGCAAAAATAGCATTTATTTTGTACTCCCATTCAATATATAAATCAGGCTTAAAATGACCAGTAAATGGTGGCATGGAAACATTAACTTGATTATGTGCATTCTTATGTTGTTGCTCCTCTTGTGACGGTTGTTGTATTTTCTTAGGTGATGGCAAATCTCCCATGATCGATGAAGCCCAAGAACTAACAACTCCGGAACCTGCCATAGTTAGTAGAAAACGAGAAACAAAATCCGAGAATAATGTCCTATGAACTACTAGGATGTGGCGGTAAAACGCTCACAGTATAGCAAATATCAATATCTTACAAGTTCTTACCATGCAGTAGGTGGTGACAGGCAACCAGTGGTGTCAAATAACTCCGAAGATTGAGTATAGCGATTGTTAGGGGAACGTACGTATACCCGGTGTAGAAATATGTGGAGCTTGGAAGGCTTAAGTATATGGTAGCAAAAGATTAGCAATAATCAATTCAGAGATGCAATGTTGAATAGACGCTCAACGATAATATTGTGCTGGTCCTAGGCTAGACCCGACTAGAGATGCGAGCCTAGAACACTAATGAGGTCACAGCGTAGGACGACTAGCATCAATAAAGGATACGAATAGCTCTGGACAACAAGATATAAGTGAAGATCACAACGGCGGTAAAGATAATAATGTGAAACAAGCGTCAAGTAGGATATATCAATAACTTTCTCTCCAACTTTTCTAGAGAAAAGTTTGTGTCAATTTTCTGATATTTTTTCTTAAGAATGGCACTGACTCAAGCTTTTAAACGCAAAAAGAACCGCTTAATTCCAAGACGATATGAGGAGTAAAAAAAAATCTAAAACTGGTCTAAAAAACTGGAACAAGCCGTGTTTGCGAACTTCAGAGGGCAAAAAGATTTATTTAGAAGCCGATTTTGAGGTGTCAAATATTGAACTAGCTTTTGCAACTATTTAGATGCGGCTCATAGCCAGCTTTTATTTAAGTACTCGCGGAGCCAAAACGGACTTCGTATGAGGAAGTTATGTCTGTTTTACTGAACAATGCACAAAACAGATTCTAATCCGAATTCAACTACGAGATTAAGTCTAGATAGATCCGAATTTTGTTTTTTTTCTTCTCTCTTTTTTCCCTCACACTTTTTTCTTTTACTTTCTCTTTTTTTCTCTGTCTTTTTTCTCTCTCCCTCTTTCCAAAACAAACTAGATAAGATGCAGATTGGATCAAGCGAAGATGTGAACGATCTCAACTATGATTATGACAATGAACGGTGGGTAGCATGTGGTAGAAATTGATGGATGGGTGGTGGATAACAGAAGGGATAACGATGCAGCGGCGGCGTGACTAATGTGAATAGAACTCGAAACTCTAAATGAACTAGACACTAAGACCAGCAACTCGACACGACGATGCAACCGATAATTTAACTATGCAAGCAATGAAAAGAAAATTGCAAAGGCTCATACTGGCTTGGACATATGATGAATAGATCTAACTTTTTGTGGCTTTTTCTTAGACAATAGGTAAGAAAATAAATCTAATCTATGAAAATTTGGAAATTTTCACCGAGCAATTTGAAAACTGATACCACTTGATAGAGGCGAAGGTGTCCCGATTTTTCGATGAGATGGTAACTATCGATTTGGTCGAGTCGACTTTGACAACCCGACTACAAACGTGCACGACGTTGCGCCTTAGCAATCGCTAAACCAATCTCATAAGGTTACCGACGATGCTAGAAGCACGATCAGCCTGACCACGAAGGTCTATTCCTGCATGCAATTGGAGAATAAGTAAGAATATGATAATGCAGTCTGAATATTGCGAATATAGATGAAGTATTGATAAAGGTGGGGATCCGAAAGCGGCCTTGGTCTGGTTGTTGGACACAAACGAAGTACACGAAGTTGCGTTGGCTAACTTTTAACTAAACAAATCCCATGGAAAAAGTTACTAAATGTATCTACTTATATAGGAGCAAGGAGTGGCGGCCAAGGAGGTGGGAGGACGTCCCAAGACAGCCTAAAACTAACCCTAGGTCGTACAAGGCTCATGGGCCCACGTGGAGGTGATGCATCACCTTTGGACTTGTAGTTTGACTTGGATTCTGTTGCAGCGTCAGATTGTCTCGTCGATAACTCAATGCTCCAGACGAATTTTAAGGTGAATCCAATTTTGTTGGAAAGATCACGAAATCTACTTTCCAACAAAAAAAGAATCACTCAATTCGGGTTATTGGTGTTTTGAGTCAGGTATGCTTGTGCAGTTCGAATCTGAATTCAGAACGTGAGAGACTTGGACTCTATCTTCTCTTAGGTTAAAAGTGATGTGAGAAGACCTTTTAAACAACACCTAAACTTCTCTTTTCCCCTTATCTTCATATGTGGACTGTACTAACGTCCCAGACACCTACAATTAAACATGACACAAAAGTTTGTGAAATATCTTTGTCCTGGATGACATAAATAAATTATTGTATAGTTTGCATTAGAAACACCTCACAAATATACATATATGCAATATTTTTGGTCGTATCCAAGGTAGTCATGTCCTCATCACTATGGGCACGGGGTCTAGGAGACCCATGCGCACGGGGGCACCTAGGAGGTGTTGCCTTCTTTTTATGGGCCCTCCTTCTTTCCTATGGCCTTGGCGTCCTTTTCCTAGGTTTTGGGGATGTTCCTTAGCTGCCTGATGGGTGTAATCCTTGTACCTAATGACACATAACATTCTTTGGTGAGGTAGCATCCAAATTTCATCCATATCCATATCCATATCAATCTCATAAAGGAGTGAGTTCACCTCGTTTCCGATTGCACGTACGCGAGCTCTTGTCAAAGGTTCTCGTGGTGCTTGATAGTCGGTGTAGTGTCCATGGGATGATCGAATGATGCTCCGCATCAGGTTATACATAGGTCAGTTACATCTAATGGTAAACAAGTTCGGGATTGCTTCTAAGTCTTGGAGTAATGCACCAAGTCTTCGAAGAATTCCATTTTGATTCTTCTAGGAGGCCGACGAATGTGCCCATTGACTAATTATTTGGTGGTCCTTGACCCGACCCATGTGTGCGGGATTCAACGTGGCTACCACCCCTTATTCAGAACACCATCACGAAATGATCGACATCTTCGTCAAAAAGCATCTCCTCTATGTCAGAATCATCCGACTCTAACAACGACGAAGAACTTCGATCATCCATGTAAAAAAATAATCAGTGATTTAATATAACATATCTCTCATCACCTAAAATTAAAATGAGAAACCGCTAGAAAGATTGTCTTTGGCAGGTAGCAAATCCGCACAACCGAGATCTCTTTCGCACCGTCGGCCAAAAGCAAACCTACCATCCCTACTTCCCCACGGCTCCAAACCTACGGCAGATGCAAAGACAATTTCGTGGCTCAATCGCTGCCGGAGCAGTCGGATCTGCCCGCAACGAGGCCCCGCGCAAAGCTCTGAGACATATTCATGGTGGCGGCCATGCTCCTGCGGTAAAGATCGGCAACCCCAAGCTTTAAAATTGGTGGAGAAGATGCGGGTGGAACTATTCGACAGTGTAGCATGGCCCATGGCAGCAAGAATCCGCGACGAGATGCGGTGGCTGCGAAATGCTGGGCGCGAGCTAGAACGTCCGTAAGATGGAGAAATTAGTAAAATGAAGAGAGAAGATGGACATATAAGGTGGGAGGGCCGAAATATACAGCTTTCCTCCTTTTCTTTTTCAGAACAGGCCGTTTTACGGAATCTAAGACGATTTTTCTCTGAAAAAAGATGCTGAACGACGAATGAAAATCCGGGACACAGGCAACGAGTTTGTCCGCTCAACGACCCGCCCAGAAGCTCAGAGGGGACCGACTGACCGAGAAGGTAGAGTAAAAAAGAAGCCCTAGCTCCGACGCCGGCGACGGGATGAGGTCCGGAGGCGCCGCCGAGGTGATAGATCTCTCCAGCGACGACGACGGGGAGTCCCTCCCCTTTCCCAGCACCAGCGCCGTCACCGTCGCCCCCTCCTCCACCCGCGATGTCAAGCCGTACGAGCTCGCCGATGTGAAGCCCCTGCTTTACCCGATCCAGCCCCCAGGCTGCTTTGCGCTCGTGCCCGTCAAGGACGAGGACCCCGTGCCCTTGCCACTCGCCGCCAAAGCCCCCAGGGTCCTCCCCCCGCCGCGCCTCTGCCGCCAATTCTGGAAGTCCGGCGAGTATGTTGTAGCCCGCCGCAACCCTGACGCCGATGCCCCTGGTATGCTGACTGCAGAAATCTCGGCGACACGTCCCTTGTTTCTACTTTTTTTTTACTATGACCCATTTCCTTTTGATTTCGGTGTTTGTGATTTGGTGGTGTGCAGGCGGGCGGAATCGGCTGAGGATCAATCCAAAGTTCCTGCACTCAAATGCTACTTCTCACAAGTGGGCATTTGGCGGTATGAGAATGAACTAATCTTAGAAAATAACTCCATCTCGAGAAATTGACTCATTTGGTTCACAAATTCTTTCATACACTTAATGGCCTCCCAGTCTTTGTTAAATGCAGTTTTTTTAGCAAGATAAGAGTTCATACGCATAATGGCGTCCCAGTTTCTGTTGAATGCAGTTTTGTAGTAACAACTTGTCTTGTCAGTTGTCAGCTTGTCATTTATGTATTTAACTATCATGGGTTAATTCTCTTCCTCACTGCCACTTTATTTCCGGTTGTAAACATGTAATGGGAAGTTTAAAAAATTGCATGTTAGCAGTAAATATAGTAAAACAGTGGCTTCTAAATGGCTTACTCACTTAATTAAAACAAAAAGGACCTGAGACGTATGTTGAGAATTGTCATCTGAATTTTTGTCTGCCGCATACAAGGTGGCCTAGCCCATTTGTCCTTACAATCTGGGCATAAATGTCCCTCTCGATCTCAGAATCTTGTATTATAAACACTTGATCCACTGTTTACATAACTTTTGTAAGTACACGCTTGAATCATTGTGTAAATACTAGCACTTCGAAAACCAATCTAGGACATTATCGCGGTTTCTACTTGTTTTTGGGGTTAAATTCAAGCATATCTAACCTGATCCTAACCCACTTTCTTGTGTGTATAATGGACACACTTTGCTTTGCATCATATGGTACTTTCTCTTCATTATTTGTATCCAGTGTTGACTTCGTTAATTTTTGCAGCCATTGCTGAGCTTCTTGATAACGCTATTGATGAGGTATTTTCCGTATTTGACGATGCTCAATTAACTCCATCCTAAAAGGAAAAATAGATCAACATGAATGCTATGTATTGTTTATTTGGTTGTGTATTTTCTGTCAGGTGAATAATGGGGCAACATTTGTTCGTGTTAATAAATTCACAAACCCACGGGATGGTAGTCCCTCATTGTTGGTTCAAGGTTTGCAGCTTCAATATGACAAATAAATGTGTAACTATTCAGTTGGTAGAAACATTCAATAATGACCTTGGGGTGTTCTGTATGGCCAAGATGATGGAGGGGGGATGGATCCAGATGCACTGCGATGTTGCATGAGCTTTGGATTTTCAGATAAGCAGTCTGATGCTTTCATCGGGCAATGTATGTTCTTTGTGCCTTTTTTCCTATTTCCATGCGAGATCATCAATATCTTAAAGTCTTGCTATTGGATTCATTGTTGCCTGTTTGTCAGATGGCAATGGTTTCAAAACAAGCACAATGAGGCTTGGAGCGGATGTGATTGTTTTTACACAGAACCAAAAAAACTGGTATTTCTCCTTTGCACTCATTTAATCTAGGAGTCCAGTTCTTCACAATTACACCCTCTGTTCATAAATATAAGACGTTTTGGCAGTTCATTTTAAACTGCCAAAGCGTCTTACATTTAGAAACAGAGGTGGTATATCAGAACAAACATTTTGTGGTGTTACTTGCCACCTTGGTCGTTGGTTTCAAAAGTAACTCTTAGGGAAAGTACACTAAAATTTTCAAGAGTATTGTGCAGGAATGGATCTGAAAAATGGTGAAATATTTATTGAAAGTATTTCTAAGTGTTAATACGGCCTTTTGCAATGCTTTTGAATAAAATGTCCGTATGGGGGTAATTTTCACCTTTTGTGTTACATGGAAACAATCAAACATGTATCACTCTAATGTCTAATCTAATCTCATATGGCGACTGTTCATTTGTTATATTATTTGTTGCATGTTCCTTGTCAGACACACACTCATGCTTCACTGTAACGCTGCCACCACATGAGTTATCATTCGGTTATGTTGCTTAAAATATAATCATACCTCTCAATTCCTCTGTTGCCTCAGTAAAATGTCTGGCCACCCAGTTCATGTATCAATTCAAGCAATTTGTTGCTTTTTTTTAGGACACCGACAAGAAGTATTGGTCTTCTTTCTTACACATTTCTGATGGAAACAGGCTGCGATGATGTATTGGTGCCAACAGTAAGTTTGATGCTTTCTTTGTAAGCTGATGTCAAGTTCTGGAAATTTTAGTTAGCTGGGCTCTGAGCTATGTTGTAGTTTTACTTGTTCCCTTGCCCCATTGTCTCTTGCAGGTAGACTACCAATACGATCTTACAACTGCTTCATATACTCAGCTGTTACGTCATAATCAGAAACTCTTCTCTTCTAATTTGGCGATCCTTTCGAAATGGTCCCCTTTTGCTAGTGAAGCTGAGTTGCTTAAACAAGTATGTAAACTAGCATTTTATTGTTTTGGCATATTTCTGGCAACCTGTTGAATGGTGCTAACAATCATATAAAGATGAGTATACTATGTAAAGAAAGAGTTCGCAGATGCTTTTGGAAATTAAGAGGTTTGACAGATTAACCAATAGCCTGTATAGATGAAATGGTTTAGAAAGATGGTCCGTCTTCTTTTGTAGGAAAGAGACCTGCATGTGAAGGTGCTTATGGAACTGTTGAAGTCTTTTGCCCCCCATAATAGACTTGCATAGTGATTTTCTAATTCTTAAAAATCAATTATATGTTCTCTATCATGCTATGTAATATTATATGTGTATTATATTCTTTATTTATCGCAAAAGGTTAATTGATGCATGTATAGTTTATCTGTAAATTAAGCCAAATGGTTTTCCTAGTTCCCATCAATTCTATATGTGACAGTTCCCTTGTAGAATAAGTGTCTCAGTTATCATAGATCTCTGTTAGTTAGGGCAAGCTGCCCAGTTTATCATTCTGGCTGATCTTTTCTCTGGTTTATCTCAATACTTTCTTACTTACGATACAGTTTGATGATATCGGAGAGCATGGGACGAAGATAATTGTATTCAACCTCTGGTTCAATGATGATGGGGACATGGAGCTTGATTTCAACTCCGATAAGAAGGTTTGTAATGTTGGCCTCCTGGAGCTATATTTGTTGCTGGCAGATGATTTTGATGTCCCAAAACTTGATGTGTTATTGCATGAATTAACTTAGCTCGTTTATATTGAGACGTTGATGTCCCAATCCAGTTTGACTTAATTGTTTAGGATTAGCTTGAGGATTTCAGTAAACATGTTTTGACACACAGACTTGCCAGTATGCCACATTCCCTGCCCAGCACATCATTTTCCAAAATAACTAGTTAGGGCCCACATGTTATTTTGATGTACTATAGAAACCAGTTTCAACGATAGAAGATATGATGATAAGATGAATTTTTAGCTTGATCAGTAATTTGCTTGGCAAGCTCTAATTCCTCCCTGCTTTTCTTGTTAGTTCTGTAGGAGGTGGAAAGAGCGAGATATGTAATTAATGATAGCAAGCTCTTCAACAGGGCCTCCCCCTAGTTTTCTTTCTTAGTAGTTCTTCAATTGGGCTTTTCCCCTCTAAAATGCTTTTGAAATGGTAGACAACTAGCCAAACCTACATGATTGTGGACCACACACATATAAAATAAGTAGAACAGAGATATGTTTGTTATTTGCTTCGTTTTACAAGTAAGCCAGTTCTTGTGTAACACAATAGGAATAAAATCAAAGTTCCCAATCCAGTATTTGGAAGCATAACATTAGAAACATGACATGACAACTCTATAGAACTGACACGGAATTGATTTGAGATTTGATACATGCTGAATAAGTATTGTAGGAGTTTCTAGTTTTGATGAAGTGATATGTTTCAATACATATGCCATGCTATATAGTAGAAGTGTTTATTTATCTTACAAGCTACATGTTCTATCTGTGCATCTCCTTTGGGGTTATTATTTGAACAGTTCTACCATTGGCTAAACAGTTAGATATACAATAATTTAGGATATCCTCATTACTGGGGCACAGAAGAAGGTCAAAACCAACAAACATGAGAAGCTTATGACTCAGGACTACATTGCAAATCGACTTCGTTATTCACTTAGAGTTAAGTACTGATCCCCATTATCTGATTTATTAAACTTGTTTTGTTTATTTTGCTAGACAAACATGTCTCATTTGCATTTCTGCCTGAATTCAAGCAGGCATACGCCTCCATCTTGTATCTTCGTGTACCTGATAGTTTCAGGATAATCCTGCGTGGACAGGATGTGGAACCACATAATGTAGTTAATGATTTGTTGTATCGTGAATGTGTGTTGTATAAACCACAAATCGCTGGACTTCCAGAGGTATGTGTAACTTAGAATTTCTGAAGCATATTTTCCATTTCACCAATTTGGTCGATGTGAAAACCATTTTGAAGCTTCTTGTAAGATAGTTAGAATGATTGTATATGTTCACTTGTATGGTTGTATCCTGGATGTCTCTATTCTAATGGTTGGTTGGTCTGTTTTGTTAGAAACCTATCTTATTGCCATCTGCTAACTGCTTTCGCCTATGGATTTCTCATGATAAATTCCCCATATTGAATCTTACTCATAGAAGTGTTTTACTTCCATGGATAATCTGTTCTGTTTTTTGAGAAAAAATCAAGGTTAAATTGTACATTGCTTATCTAGTTATTTTCTGTTAGTCATATCCATGTTGTACAAAGTAAATCATTTTAGTTAAGTATGGATGACGAGGAGGTCCAGAATAGGTTTGCCCTTTGTGTTGTTGTACCATCCTTGTTAGAAATGTCTACATTTGCTACGTTATGCAACTTTTTCCAGAACCACTAGTTGCTAGGTAAAACAAGATCTTAATATATTAATAATACTTGAAACACTCCTTTGTAAGTCTTTTTAGCCTGGAAATGAATGTCCTACTGGATGGATCATCTAGTCCCTTGTAGTGATTTTTATTCCATGAAATGGTTACCCCCTCACCTCCACTAAAGTCTGCTTAGATTTTGCAAAATGTCCTGTATTTGTAATATAGTAGGCAAAACTTGTTTATATAAAGCATGCCTTCTCAGTGTACCTCCATGTTGTTTTTATTTAGCTATCTATAGTCACAACCATCGGATTTGTCAAAGGTGCCCCAGACACTGATGTACAAGGATTCAACGTTTATCACAAGAATCGTTTAATAACGGTGAGAGCTTTCTTCTTTTCCACGACACTTGACAACGTAGAATATTGTGCTTCTCAAGAAATAGTTTATTCATAGTCTTTATCTTCTGCGAAGGGGAGCCTTGGCGCAGCGGTAAAGCTGTTGCCTTGTGACCATGAGGTCATGAGTTTGAGTCCTGGAAACAGCCTCTTTAGAAATGCAGGGAAAGGCTGAGTACTATAGACCCAAAGTGGTCGGACCCTTCCCCGGACCCTGCGCAAGTGGGAGCTACGTGCACCGGGCTGCCTTTTTTTTAGTCTTTATCTTCTGTCAGCAATATGTTGCTTTTGACGTACTTTTATCATCAGAAAGCTCTTCCTTCAAGCAATGTCTTTATCTAACAAATGAATGACTCTAGACTATGGGAATGTAGTTCTAGTGAAATGCATTGGTAATTTATTTGAGTTATGGATAAGTCCATATCCTGTTGATGGGGATATGCTGTTCAGACTAGGGACTCCTTGGCAAATTGTGCATAAGACCTCCACTATAATCTGGTATATATCAACAATCTAAAATAGTTGGGTGAGAATATGCTGTTGTGACTAGGGAGTCTTTAGTATTTTATGCACAACACACCCAATTTAATCCAGTATGGATTAATTAACATTCTAAATAGTTGCCCATGACTAGGTGCTTAGCGAGCCTTTTTTTTGCGGGTCATGCTTAGCGAGCATTCACCCAAGCTTGTAGTCTTCCAAGTAGCTAAATATTTTAAGAAACGTAAATATCATCCCTGCAACTTGAATAATAAAGAAATTGAGTTCACTATGTAGCACAATTGAGAAAATATGTGATGTATGATATTTACTAGATATGTTTCTTCAACCCTGTTGTTTGCTTGGCAAGTCACACTTCCAAATTTTTTGCAGCCTTTTTGGAAAGTTGCCAGCAACTCATATGGCAAAGGGCGGGGAGTTGTGGGTAAGAGATGTTTTACTTAATATAAAATAGATTTCCTTCGCCCACTTGTATAAGCTCCTTATATTCTCTCACTTTTCCCACTATATAGAAGTTACGGAAATATTTGAGACTTTTTAATGATTTTTTAAAACGGATTTCATGGATGTTTACAATGCTATAAGATGTACACGTACAAATTGTGGTGCTAAAATATGACCACATGTGCCTACACAAAACAATCAAATTGGTACAGCTAAGATGTACACGTTCAAATTGTGGTGCTTAAGGATGCGTTTGGTTGAAGGTGTCATATGAATGGGTTGGGACCGTCCAATTTATTTGGGATTGAACCATTCAATTCATGCGTTTGGCTGAATATAAGAGATGAGCTAATTATTTAGGACGGGACCACCAGTCATGCTCACATAGTCATGCATGCAAAGCGTGGCCATTTGATTCGACCGATTTGGTTGGGTGGAACGGTTCAGCATCTTCAAGGCATATTCTCTTTTTTTGACTTGAACCATTCATGTGCTTTATAACCAAACATGTCTATTTTTTGAACGATCCCAACCCATTCATGACCACCCTTGTAACCAAACGCACCCTAAATATGACCACATGTGCCTACACAAAACAATCAAATTGGTACAGCCTAAACAGTGAATTGTATGCCATTCAAAAATGTACGGTTTGTTCTTTTTGTGTGGGACACATACGCTCCTGATTTTCTAGGCGTATATCAAGTTGGCACATATGCATGTAAACCCATGCATTCTTGTCATAACTTTTTGTAGTGGTAAAAGAGTAGAGATAATATAGGGAGCAGATCTAAGTGGGTGGAGATGATGAGCATTTGCCTTTTACGTAGTGTCCTATGCAAAATATAGAAGAAACATTATGCGTATGTTTTATTCTGTTGGTATTTTCAGGTATTCTTGATGCGAGTTTCATCAAACCTACCCACGACAAGCAGGACTTTGAGAAGTCAGTCCTTCATCAAAGGCTTGAGAATCGTTTGAAAGAAATGACTTATGAATACTGGTAAAGCTTTTTCTTTCAGAAAAATTCTAAAGATTTGCAACAGTAACGAACTAATGATAACTTGGTCACGTTTCTAATCTACAATAGACCCACACAAATATTATCTCATCATGCTAGCAGGTGTGCCCTGTTGTGGATCATTTTGCCAAATCATTTAATCAAAAAATTTGTCACTCGTTAGTCAGCACATGCTGTCTGGATTAAGAACCATAAGGCTGACCATATTGTAGGACCTTTGTGTAGTTCTGATAGTCCTTTTTTTCTGTCATTTACTGGATAGTTCATACCTTTTTTCTTTGATGTCGTCTGCTGGCAGCATACTTGCGGGGGGTGTTTGGTTAGCTGCGTTGCATGTGGCTCACATCTACCATGCAAATTTTGGTTGTTTGGTACCCTGTATGGGCTCTTCAGCCTGGCCCGATGGATGCAAAAAGGGGCCTCTCAGCCAGGCTGAGGGAAACGCAGGGATTGAGCGTAGCTTGCGTACAGGCTCGTTCCTTTGGTTTTCTTCTCCCCCCTTCGGTTTCTTCGGACCAAGCGCCGCCGTGCCCTCGTCAAGCTCCGCCGCCGCTGTGCCCTCGTCAAGCTCCGTCGCCGCGCCCTCGTCAAGCTCCGCCGCCCTCCTTCGCCCATGTCCAAGCGTTGCTGCCGGCCTCGTCAAGCGCTGCCACCGGTCTCGTTCGCCTTCGTCCAAGCGCTGCACGCCGGATCCTGCCGCCTCGTGCCTTCACAAGCGAGGATCCACCGTCAGGCCATCTGGAGTCATCGAGCCCCAGATCCCGTCGCCATGATCCACGTTCCTTCCTGATTTCAGCTACATTCTGAAAAACCTGCATGTACAGCCAGCCATATCATACAAATTTCACCAAACACTCATCTCGGCTCATCGTTGCATCGGCTGAACCAGGCTGCACTCACCCAGCATCCCCCATGCCATGCAGCCTAAGGCTACCCAGGGAACCAAACACGTCCCGTGATGTTAATTTAGGTGCGCTCCCTAGGTCCTGAGTTTGCCATTCAAAATGTTAAAAAAAGCATCCGATATAATTTGACAATGCTTACACGACATGCATATAAGACTTAAATTTTGATCCAGTTTTTTGAGCAAAAAACTTACGTTTTATTGCAGTATGAAATCAGAACTGTACTGCTGTTACAATTGCAGAAGCATGTCTTGAAAAGAGCCATCACATGCATTGCAAAATAGTGAAGATTGGATTGTCAAGTCCAGTCATGACTGCGTTGTACTTATGAGTAGCCTTTTCCTCACAAAATTCCTCTCTTTAATCTGTGGCCTACTACTCTGCACTCTAGTACTTTAACCCCGAATCGTGCATCTATTGACTCCCTCCTTGTTTTATCTAAGATCTGAGTTTACTTGACATGTGAAATATTTGCGATGCTGTACCTACTGTGAATGTGTGCTGGGCATGAGAACCCTGTGAACCACTGTAGTGCATGAACTGTAGCATTGCTGCACTGGCAACAGCAAGAGGTTTAGTTTGTTGATCACTGTAGGAAGTTGCTGATTTTGAGTTAATTGGATGGCCTGAGATCATAACTTGTAAAAGCTGAATATTATCTCATTTGAGATATATTAACTAGTTGACTGCTAGTTGTTAACCTCATCTTAAACTTTTACGTGTTTGTTGTGATAAATGACTATGATTGATGTGTGGGTGTTTGTTGTGTCCTTGTCACACTTTTTTGGGTGACTTAATGTCATCAGAATTTCATGCTTGAACTAATCATTTTTGTAGGGGCCTACATTGCCATCGCCTTGGTTATGATAACAAGTCATTACCTAAAGCATCCCGTGCACTTTATCGTGCTAAGCAGACGGGCGCTGGTAGTTCGCCAGCAAGTGTTCCGCATCAGTTACTGACTGCTGATATTCCAACAAGCAGCTGTGTACAGAGTAGTGAGTAATCCATCTTTCTAGGGTCACCTGTCAAATTTCACTATTTGGTTAATGTTTTTCTTTTTTTTAACAGGCATGGGACAGAAGAGAAATTTCGATGCCCTCGGAGTCATCAGCGACATAAATAATCACCAGACGAAGGCAAGGGAGACTAGTAGCATGGGCATCTATCTTTTCTGTCTGGTTACCCCCACCCACACACTGCGCGCACGCACACGCTATACACCGCAAAACTAATTCTTTTGGTCCTCTTAGAAGCGCATATTGGTATGGAACATCTTCAAAATACCATGAGCGTCCTTACATGGCTGATTTGTTGTTGGTTTTCTTTGACAGCATCGGAATGTTATTCAACGAAAACGATTTCATGAATACAAGACCTTGACACTTGAAAATGACAAATTGCGTGATGAGTAAGTACAATACAGAGTTTGATAAGGGACATCTATATATGCACTTTGTACATCTTTTTGTTTTAGCCATTGTAGTTTCTTTGTTTGTTAAGGAGCATCTACAGAGTTCAAAGCAGTTTAGGAAAGCATTTTCCCACATGCAATTTATCTGTTACTGCTGATGTAGTTAACGCAGAATATGAATAGTATATGTTGATAAAGAGGATTATCAGTTGCTCGTATGTCTGGGTACCATGTTTCTATTAGCAATATCAGGGTAGTATGAAAACAAATATACATGTAACATTAGAACCAAGAGGTTACAGCTTCTTCAAAGTAAATATGCCATGCGTGCTTCGACAATTTTAGTGTTAATGCCTATCTTTTTTGAATTACCAGATGCTTACAATACGAGGAATCAGAGAAGCAACTTGTCGAAAAGGTATTATTATCTTCTGTGCAAGTAAAGTAGTACCTCTTACTGTTGTTTCATGAGTGCAAATGACGAGGTACTGTCTCTAATTTCTGTGAATATGTACTTTGTCCAAACTTAAAGAAGTCAACCATTCTTGTAAAGTTCAGCCACATCATTTTTAATCTATTACTTCACCATCGTTAAGGTACAGCCTACATAGTATGAAGACCCTCCTTGTATTGAAAATGAATCCATTTAGTGGCTTAATGCCATCGCCATCATAATTTGGTAATCATGAGTTACATTTAATCTTTGGTTGGTGCCCTTGTACATTCCTTTGTGTTATCTCCAGAGCTTGACATTTTAGAGAAATTTGGCAATCTTGAGTTACATTTTACTCTTTGGTTGGTGCCCTTGCACATTCCTATGTGTTATCTTTAGAGCTGAACATTTTAGAGAACTGATTGATATAACAAAAGAATATTGTGATCATGCTTTTAGGAACAAAAGCTCCGGTATCAAATTGCTAAGGAAACAAAGAAGTATGAGGAATTATTAGAAGAGCTCAAATTATTAGATGTGAAGTTAGAGACATAGTGAACAGTTTTTCGTTGCACTTCTCCACCATGATAACTCAGCTTGGTTCTTGGCTGACTGTATTTGAAGGATACACATGCTGATTGTCGTGCTATGTGTACTAGCTATGATTATGGGAAGAAATGGTCTCATCGACCAGCAATATCTTCTGGCTACCCTTCACTGGGTAGAGATGTACAATTTTGACACAGTAATCTTTGTAGGGAACCTTGTGTTGAAATACATGCATGTATATATGTTGTAGAAGTATGTCCACCATGTAATTTGATTGTCTAATAGAGGTTTCACGAAAATATTGCTTCTATTTGTCATGATTCCGAAGTCTCTGAATATTACTGAAGAATGTATGGTTCGTTTATGAAGACCAGGCTCTAGTTCAGAGCAACTCTAGCAGACCCCGCAAAATCCCGACCCGCAAAATGCGTTTGCAGTTTGACGCGGATCTCGTTTGCGGGTCGAAAACGTGCGCAGCCGAACAGAAACCGTATATGGCACTGCATAATTTGAAAAAAAAGTTCTGTGGGAGAAATTGCAACCGTAGTAGTTCATCATGTGCTACATATACTACATGATCAAAGACTAATTCATTACAAACACTAGTTCATATTACATACTACATTCATTATAGTACTAGAGGGGGCGGGGATCTAACGGCGGCGAGCTCGCGGCCATGGACGATGCGGTGGAGGAGCTCAATCCTCCTCGTTGGAGCTGTTGGAGCTGCCGAGGTCGATGTACTTCGCCTTTTGCTCCTCGCGGATGCGCCGCCACTCGTCGCCTTCCTTGGCGGCAATGTTTGTCGTGACCGCCTGCTGGAATGATCTCCTCGGGCTCCTGCTTGACGGCAACGACCTCGATCTTCTCCAGCTCCTCCGACCACTACCTCTTCATGAGGAGAAGGCTTGTGCTGGAAAAGGAAGAGCTTGCGACGAAAGTGTTGGAAATATGCCCTAGAGGCAATAATAAAATGGTTATTATTATATTTCCTTGTTCATGATAATTGTCTATTGTTCATGCTATAATTGTGTTATCCGGAAATCGTAATACATGTGTGAATACGTAGACCACAACACGTCCCTAGTGAGCCTCTAGTTGACTAGCTCGTTGATCAAAAGATAGTCTTGGTTTCCTGACTATGTACATTAGATGTCATTGATAACGGGATCACATCATTAGGAGAATGATGTGATGGACAAGACCCAATCCTAAGCATAGCTCAAAGATTGTGTAGTTCGTTTGCTAGAGCTTTTCCGAATGTCAAGTATCATTTTCTTAGACCATGAGATTGTGCAACTCCTGGATACCGTAGGAGTGCTTTGGGTGTGCCAAACGTCACAACGTAACTATCTCCGAAAGTGTCTGTTGGGTTGTCACGAATCGAGACTGGGATTTGTCACTCCGTATGACGGAGAGGTATCTTTGGGCCCATTTGGTAATGCATCATCATAATGAGCTCAATGTGACCAAGTGGTTGATCACGGGATCATGCATTACGGTACAAGTAAAGTGACTTGCCGGTAACGAGATTGAACGAGGTATTGGGATACCGACGATCGAGTCTCGGGCGAGTAACGTACCGATTGACAAAGGGAATTGTATACGGGATTGATTGAATCCACGACATCGTGGTTCATCCGATGAGATCATCGAGGAGCATGTGGGAGCCAACATGGGTATTCAGATCCCGCTGTTGGTTATTGACCGGAGAGTCGTCTCGGTCATGTCTGCGTGTCTTCCGAACCCGTAGGGTCTACACACTTAAGGTTCGGTGACGCTAGGGTTGTAGAGATATTAGTATGCGGTAACCTGAAAGTTGTTCGAAGTCCCGGATGAGATCCCGGACGTCACGAGGAGTTTCGGAATGGTCCGGAGGTGAAGAATTATATATAGGAAGTCCAGTTTCGGCCATCGGGAAAGTTTCGGGGGTCACCGGTATTGTACCGGGACCACCGGAAGGTCACGGGGGTCCACCGGGTGGGGCCACCTATCCCGGAGGGGCCCATGGGCTGAAGTGGGGAAGGGAACCAGCCCCTGGTGGGTTGGTGCGCCCCCCTTGGGCCTCCCCCTACGCCTAGGGTTGGAAACCCTAGGGGTGGGGGGCGCCCCACCTGGCTTGGGGGGCAAGCCACCCCCCTTGGCCGCCGCCCCCCCTTGAGATCCAATCTCTAGGGCCGGCGCCCCCCCTAGGGGCCCTATATATAGTGGGGGGGGGGAGGGAGGGCAGCCGCACCCAAGCCCCTGGCGCCTCCCTCTCCCTCCCGTGACACCTCTCCCTCTCGCTGAGCTTGGCGAAGCCCTGCCGAGATCACCGTTGCTTCCACCACCACGCCGTCGTGCTGCTGGATCTCCATCAACCTTTCCTTCCCCCTTGCTGGATCAAGAAGGAGGAGACGTCTTCCCAACCGTACGTGTGTTGAACGCGGAGGTGCCGTCCGTTCGGCGCTAGGTCATCGGTGATTTGGATCACGACGAGTACGACTCCATCAACCCCGTTCTCTTGAACGCTTCCGCTCGCGATCTACAAGGGTATGTAGATGCACTCCCCTTTCCCTCGTTGCTAGATAACTCCATAGATTGATCTTGGTGATGCGTAGAAAATTTTAAATTCTGCTACGTTCCCCAACAGTGGCATCATGAGCTAGGTCTATGCGTAGTTTCTATGCACGAGTAGAACACAAAGTAGTTGTGGGCGTCGATATTGTCAATTTACTTGCCGTTACTAGTCTTATCTTGATTCGGCGGCATCGTGGGATGAAGCGGCCCGGACCGACCTTACACGTACGCTTACGTGAGACTGGTTCCACCGACTGACATGCACTAGTTGCATAAGGTGGCTAGCAGGTGTCTGTCTCTCCCACTTTAGTCGGATCGGATTCGTTGAAAAGGGTCCTTATGAAGGGTAAATAGAAATTGGCATATCACGTTGTGGTTTTGGCGTAGGTAAGAAACGTTCTTGCTAGAAACCTATAGCAGCCACGTAAAAACTTGCAACAACAATTAGAGGACGTCTAACTTGTTTTTGCAGCATGTGCCGTGTGATGTGATATGGCCAAAAGGATGTGATGAATGATATATGTGATGTATGAGATTGATCATGTTCTTGTAATAGGAATTACGACTTGCATGTCGATGAGTATGACAACCGCCAGGAGCCATAGGAGTTGTCTTAATTTATTTATGACTCGCGTGTCAACATAAATGTCATGTAATTACTTTACTTTATTGCTAAACCGTTAGCCATAGTAGTAGAAGTAATAGATGACGAGACAACTTCATGAAGACACGATGATGGAGATCATGGTGTCATGCCGGTGACGATGATGATCATGGCGCCCCGAAGATGGAGATCAAAAGGAGCAAATGATATTGGCCATATCATGTCACTATCTGATTGCATGTGATGTTTATCATGTTTTTACATCTTATTTGCTTAGAACGGCGGTAGCTTAAATAAGATAACCCCTCACATAATTTCAAGAAAGTGTCCCCCCTAACTGTGCACCGTTGCGAAGGTTCGTTGTTTCGAAGCACCACGTGATGATCGGGTGTGATAGATTCTAACGTTCGAATACAACGGGTGTAAGCCAGATTTACACACGCAATACACTTAGGTTGACTTGACGAGCCTAGCATGTACAGACATGGCCTCGGAACACGGAAGACCGAAAGGTCGAGCATGAGTCGTATAGAAGATACGATCAACATGAAGATGTTCACCGATGTTGACTAGTCCGTCTCACGTGATGATCGGACACGACCTAGTTGACTCGAATCATGTTTCACTTAGATGACTAGAGGGATGTCTATTTGAGTGGGAGTTCATCGAATAATTTGATTAGATGAACTTAATTATCATGAACTTAGTCTAAAATCTTTACAATGTGTCTTGTAGATCAAATGGCCCACGCTAATGTTGCTCTCAACTTCAACGCGTTCCTAGAGAAAACCAAGCTGAAAGATGATGGCAGCAACTATACGGACCGGGCCCGGAACCTGAGGATCATCCTCATAGCTGCCAAGAAAGATTATGTCCTAGAAGCACCGCTAGGTGACGCACCCACCCCAGAGAACCAAGACGTTATGAACGCTTGGCAGTCACGTGTTGATGATTACTCCCTCGTTCAGTGCAGCATGCTTTACAGCTTAGAACCGGGGCTCCAAAAGCGTTTTGAGCAACACGGAGCATATGAGATGTTCGAAGAGCTGAAAATAGTTTTCCAAGCTCATGCCCGGGTCGAGAGATATGAAGTCTCCACAAGTTCTTCAGTTGTAAGATGGAGGAAAATAGTTCTGTCAGTGAGCACATACTCAAAATGTCTGGGTTGCATAACCGCTTGACTCAGCTGGGAGTTAATCTCCCGGATGACGCGGTCATTGACAGAATCCTTCAGTCGCTTCCACCGAGCTACAAGAGCTTTGTGATGAACTTCAATATGCAGGGGATGGAAAAGACCATTCCTGAGGTATATTCAATGCTGAAATCAGCGGAGGTGGAGATCAAAAAGGAACATCAAGTGTTGATGGTGAATAAAACCACTAAGTTTAAGAAAGGCAAGGGTAAGAAGAACTTCAAGAAGGACGGCAAGGGGGTTGCCGCGCCCGGTAAGTAAGCTGCCGGGAAGAAGCCAAAGAATGGACCCAAGCCCGAGACTGAGTGTTTTTATTGCAAGGGAAGTGGTCAGTGGAAGCGTAACTGCCCCAAATACTTAGCGGACAAGAAGGCCGGCAACACTAAAGGTATATGTGATATACATGTAATTGATGTGTACCTTACCAGTACTCGTAGTAGCTCCTGGGTATTTGATACCGGTGCGGTTGCTCATATTTGTAACTCAAAACAGGAGCTGCGGAATAAGCGGAGACTGGCGAAGGACGAGGTGACGATGCGCGTCGGGAATGGTTCCAAGGTCGATGTGATCGCCGTCGGCACGCTACCTCTACATTTACCTACGGGATTAGTTTTAAACCACAATAATTGTTATTTAGTGCCAGCTTTGAGC